TAGTTAACATATCTTAAAGAATGGAATAGTGTTTTCATAAAGTAAGAAAACTGACCGACAAATACTTTATTATTTAAAATCTACTGGATAACATATTCAGTATGCACAACGAAATGTTGGCATATTTTGATAAGGGATAACATGTATCACCATTTTCCCTTTTACTCTTTATAATTAACTTTTTCGAACTTTACCTAGTTGAATATTTTTCTAGTCTAAAATAAAAGATAAGCATTAGCTGAAAAGTTCTATACAGAATATTATATGTTATATATAGTCGGCCCTTATTTGATGGGTATTTTGAATTCGATAACTGGAATATTTGCGTGATGAAAACTTGAAACGGTTTTCATTGTAGAATATTTCATTAAAAGGCCGATTAATACTGATTGCACTCGCCTTTACTTCAATTTTTATGAGTGAAAAATTATGAAATTGCAGTAAACCTTGAAAACAAGCAATGCCTTTAAACTATTGTCTTAACGATAAACGCTTTCAGTATATTCATCTTTTATAATATTGACTATCAAATATTAATACTTCTATAGTGATCTAGTTCATTTCAGAGAATTCAATCCGATATTTACTGCAAAATGGCCATAATTTATCATTTCTGGAATCATAATCTGTTTAAAAAATCGCCTTACCTTGTTATTGGCTACCTCCAAAATAATGATATTTCCTAATATAAAGTTTACGTGGGATATATCTGTAGACTGTAACAAAACTAAACGCACTTTATTTAATGCGACTTACTTTAAAACTTAGGAGCATTAATTTTATTCAAATATACTACTGAACACCTTGAGTTACATTTCATTTGATAAAGACTCATTCTAAATTCATGAGTACAAACTATCTGTCTACATTGACAACAATATTACAAAGAGCATGTTCATAATTGATGAGAACAATTTTGACGTAAGGAGATCAAAAATATTAACAGAACACAATGAATACATTGTATCTTAGTTAACACTGTCTTCAGCTACATAGAAACTATTAAATTTTAGTTAGTAATAACAAAATAAATTGAAATTTTAAGAAATAACTTATCTATTAATAAGGAATTTTATTTGGAATGTAAATGAAGTCAAGAATTAAAGTTTTCAAAGGCTTTTCATAAGTGTTTGGAGAGACGATTTTTTAGTTTAAGATCACAAAACCGTTGTAGTCACTGAGAAATAGGTAGGTAAGATTATCCTCAATCAAACATTCCGATGCCTGTCTTTTTATCTTTCTAATGTGTACTCATTATCATTAACATGTGAGATAGATTTAACACTTCGATAATGTGATTTCTAAAAGTTTATAATACATCTAGATGAACATTATCAAGAGTCATTTAAGATAATTCTGAAATCACAGAATATATGGAGCATATTGTAAATCGAAAGAGTAACTTCGACGGAAATAGATATCTCTTAAAGTATTTTATGATACAAAAAATCTTTATGAATATGTTCAAACAATTCTGTATAGTATTCTTAATGCATTATTCTTTACTTGAATTATTAGCTACTATAATAAAAGCTGATCAGTATATGTACCTATCATCCCGAAATTGTAAGTTATATAAATCACTCATTAAAGCATTTAGTTCCATTGATAGAATGAACAAATGTATGTTTCATATGAAATACTATTGTTGACTACATTTTTATTATGATTTTCTCATTTCTATAATGTGAATGATATCTGTATTTTTCTGTAAAATTATATCTTCATTTTATACCGAATAATTCTTTATAACCTATTGACTATGACCAATGTCATTAAATAAACAAAATATTTTTAAATCTAAGCAAGAGAAAAATATACCTGGCAAAGATATCATTGTACTTATAAAACCACAATGCAAGCTGACCTTAATTGTTTCAAAGCAAATTCGATGAAATGACTCGTTTTTTGTTCATATTTGTATCATATTTAGCGGAAGAGAAGTACATGTCAACAACCAAACAAATATATAGACAGTAAAAGGAATTCACATTGTAAAACTAACATTGGTAATTCTAGACAGAATATATTTGATTGCCAGTCATTTTTTATAATTTTGTATTTTTTGTTCTACAATATTATCTTGAGGCAAATTTATAAACATTTCAAACGTTTTACCGACAAAACAAAAGAAAATAGACAATTTGTAATTTATTCCCTATATCGTAAACACTTATCTCGGTATTACACAACGTATCATTTCCATCATACTTTCTTCAAGAAAAATACAAAGGGGTGTGTTACTGAGATCGATTAAAAGATATATATATATGTATTATCCAACTGAAGAGTAATCCTTTTAACTTCAATAATATAGAGTACGAACATACACAGTTGATTAAGTACGTTCATTATTTAGATTCATATCGTTATAATATTTTATAGTTTAGGAATTTATCTAGATTAGTAAAGCAACGAAGCTGTTTATGTATAGAGGGTTTTATAGTACGACTTTTTAGTGACTAATCAATAGAAATATTAAAATAAACGAATGAATAATGTTTTTTTTTCAAAAAAAGATATTTGGTTCCATGATATCGTGTGAATTTGCAAAATGTAATGTAATAGTGATAATAATACCAATAGACATATGAAGTTCCCAATAATTCTTTCTTAAATAACATTACTTAGAATGGACATTATTATACCTGCATATTATTTGTTGTGATCAGTGTTTCACTTTCAGAGTTTCACATATGCAAATCAATTTTAAACCATTAAATCTAATTTATATTTAGAATCATATTTCTATCATCTGATAAAATTTTCTTACTTATTTTCAATTAAATAAAGCTAGAACGAACAGGGATGCAGAATAATATGAATTCTTTATATTTCGTGGTTTCTCATCAGCTGCTTACAACCAAATATGTATTAGAATTTTACATTGAGGTAAGATATAGTGTGAAACAATTAACATAATTGAATGTAAAGAATTGGAATAAAAAAGGTTATCAATAATAACTACATAAATGTGTGCAAGAACAGGTCGGAGGTCATTCGGTGTTAAAATCGAAAAGCATGAGGGGTGGGTGATCTAATAACTCAATGAAAGATAAGATAAATTGTGTAATAATTTTAGAATTAATAAAGGGTTTGCACAAGATTACTAGAATTAAAAAAAACTGGTACGATGGGTTGCGTAATAAGTAAACAAGATTTAATGAGTTAATTATTACAAGAATCTTTAATATCCATCCCCAGTTTGATGCATGACGTTTTATTCCAAGATTAGTCATCATGTTCATAGCTTCTATAATTTGTACTTCTTTGTATAACCAGTCGAAAGTTCATACTATATGGCAATCACTAATTAAAACTTATTTGTAGCATATATCATGGTATTTCAATGTAAACGTATAATCGATATGATATGCTTAACTTTAATTTCTAAATATTCATTAGTTGACCTAGTAATTTCAATTTGAATGATCAAAATTGTTTCGTAAACAAAATAAACAAATTTCTTTATTAAACTAAAATCATCATTTATTTAAAATTCAATGGAAATATTGTGTTTTTTTCAATGTTCTATTTTATGACTGAAATTAATTTTTGCTTTATCTACTAAAAAACGCGAAATCGTTCCTTGACATTTCAACATAACCGTAGTATGATCATTCATATGATCTAGTTAACTACTTTGCTTATCCAATATTTGTTGCATTCATACTTTTTATTACTAAGTACAAAGTTATTTAGTCTCTATTATTTTCGTTCCCGATTCCAAATGACTATAGATTGATTCATATATTACTTTAAAACAAATATATATATAGATGTCTAGTCCAAAATGCTTTTGATATACAGCTTTCACATATGCAATTACTTTTTGATGGTAAAATATTGTTTATTCAATGGTAAAACTTAAGATCTGAAGTAATACTTATGTCTCAACATGTAACACTTTGATTTAGACAATGATATTTTACTAAAAGGGGTTTTGTGGAGATTTTAGAAATTTCACTGGTTTAAATCATGAGTCAATTGAAGCTAGACCACCATGGAAAATCTGGAAGCACTTTACGGCTGTTTAGTCCTAGTATAGGACTCCTCAGCAGTGCGCAACCACGATCTCGCCCATCGCGACATTCAAACTCAAGAACTATCAGTCTATTAATAATCATCTGCTCACTAGTAACCGACTTTAAGAGGCATATTCTGGAGTTCTAGTGAAAAGCCGTTACCAGTAGAGTTCACCCAGGTCTGTTGTGAGATAGTAACTCACTGAAGACAATGGTGACGATGGCGCGATTTCGTGGATTGGTTGAAGTTAGACATTAACACCGTTGGATGCCGGCTGGCTCAGTGGTCTAATGGTTGAGCGCTCACGCGCAAGACCGATAGGTTATGGGTTCGAATTTCGCAAGGTGGGATCGTGGCTGCGCACTGCTGAGGAGTCCCGTACTCGGACGAAACGGCCGTTCAGTGCTTCCAGGTTTTCCATGGTGGTCTATCTTCAATTGACTCATGATTTCAATTAATGATATTTTATACATATTTTATACTTACACAGATATTTTCAAGTAGGACACATTTTATTAAAAATGAACGTGATCATGTATCTTCAGATGTTATAAGTTTTTATTGTTACGCTAAATTTCCAAACATTACGATTGAAATAATCCAATCTATGAGCAATGTGAGAAGTTAATTCGTTGTCTTTCACAATAATAAGTATCCATGTTGTTCATTGACTGATCAAATTGTTAAACTTTATCCTTAATCAAAGATTATTGTGTTGTAAATAAGATATGAATGAAACATACTAAATTGTTTCAAAAATCGCATTCAAATTAATTAGAGGGTCTGACGTACATTATATTTAAACAATGATAAATTTTTAAAAAAAAATGTGTAAAATGACAAGTATATGTCATGTAGTACAAGTTCCTGATCTCACTATTTATTTAGTTTCATAATTAATACCTCAATAATGAAAGTAGTCAACTAAAAAAAAGACGTTACATCATTATACATTTAACAGATTTAAAACTTACAATTTGTTATCAATATCCCACGTGATAATATGATCTTGAAACATGGAATAATTCATTTTTAAACAGAAAAGTAAAATAAATTTCCACAATAAATCCTTTTTCATTTAGATAATGACTGACATACATAAAATAATTTATCAAATAATATAAACCTAATTGTATTTTCCATATTTGTAAATAGAGTAGGGATTGGATAGATTTTCTTTTTATTATCATCAATAAGTGGATAGAAGCAAATCCTTAAACTTTGATATAAAATCATAATTCGAATATTTAATTTTATTCTATCATTATCACTATTATTATTATCACTAGTTGCTAGTTATTATTGCCATTAAACATTCAATGATTAAAGATTGTTAAAATGGTGTTTTTATAATCAATTTATTAGGATAATTCCTTGTTTTTAATTTACCATATTGTTTGTTCAAGGTGAACAAAACAAACCAATCAGTGTAGCTGAAAAATTTTAGTCATAACTTTTAGATTAGATATGATTGGTCAAATTTATGAACAAGCTCAAACGTAAAATCTTTTTGCTTAAACCATGTTTTTTGTTGTTGATTCAAAATCTTCTCTATACAACAATTCCTCCAGATTAAGAGATTTTCCAGTCACAGTATACAACTGTATAGAATTTCATTCGTGTTGGATGTTTAACTTTATGATAGGAAGAGTTTCACATTGTTCAGAATAAATATGCTAATTCAGAAATATATGTTTTATTTAAAAAAAGTGACATGAGAATTAATTTGAATCCCAGTTGAAACCGGTTATTTTATTGTCTAACAAATCAGTCTCTAACAAATGAAACAATCTGAAGATTTATTGAAATAAAACTTCTATGAGATTTTCTAACTTCTTTCCCATAAAACAGCTCTAGTTTTATAGTAATATTAAACCAAATACGATAACCCACTGAATTGAATTGCTGAATTCTGGTTTAAAAATTTACGTGTTTTGATGTTTACTTGAAATTGTTTCAGTCAACCATTGTTAAGATATCAAACAATGTAGTGTGAATAGATACAGTAATAAAACTATTTCAGAAAGTTTCTCAAATTTTACTATTGTAAAAATCGTTTAAAGATCCCCGTCATATTAAAAGGCTAGTATTTGAACGAAGAATATTGTTTTCGATAAATTCTCATCAGGTTCTACAGTTACATATCCAAATTAATAATCCGAATAAATGGCCAGGTTAAGGGCAAAATACATCGTTTAGAGCATGTGAATTTAGGATTGTGATAAACAAAATACAATAAAATTGTTAATGTTAATATGACTCATATAGAATGTAAACTTGAATTTTGTTTATCACAATCCTAAATTCACATGCTCTAAACGTTGTATTTTGCCCTTAACCTGGCCATTTTTCGGATTATTAATTTGGATATATAATTGAAGAACATGAAGAGAATTTATTGAAAAGAATATTCTTCGTTCAAATACTAGTCTTTTATTGTAAAAATGTTAAGGAACTATTTTATTCAGCTAATGAATGAGTTACATGATCATAAAGAATTTTGAATATTCTTCAGAAAGATATGATTGATAGATTCAGAAGTTTAATATTGAGTTTGAATAAAGCGTTAATGCGTCGAAGTGACAGTTTTCATATGAAAACATACATAAAGTATTTTCATTAAAAAAGAATCAAGTATAATTTATTCTGTATTATTTAATGATGATCCAAATTTTGATGCAAAAATCATTTTGTATGTTTGTTTAGTATTGCTATTGTGATCGGTTTATTCAGTAAGATATAAACTAATGAATAAACATTATTATAGGAAAAAAATTATTTGAGAAATAATCACTTAATTGATTGTAAAGTGAAATATGATTGTTATCAGTGTTAGTAACAGTTAACTCGTCCTTTATATTTTTGTATGCATGTGTATAGGAAATGTTTAAAAGAAAAACAATTTAGAAAATAAATCCACATGAAGCTAAGCTCCTGTAGTGTGAGTTACTATGTTAAGCCTATATAACATATTCTAGGTTCTGGACAGGCCAATTTATCTATTCTTCTTGAGTCAAGTTTTGACCATGTTAATTATTTGATTATCAACCTTGACTGCTTTCATATGAGTGTGTGTGTATATATTTTATCCTACTCATCACATGTTTGTAACGTATTTTTGTGTAACCATAGATACTGATCAACTCTTGAATAGAGTTGGCTTACATGCCTTATTTACTGAGTGTTATTTCGCTTCGTTTTGCTCTCTTTTCTTCTCATTTGGTGCGATTCCTTGATTATCTGTACAAAATATACATATTCAAACATCCATTCTTGTATTTGACATATTTAATTCTTTTCTACATTAAAGCGGACTAAGTCAATAATAATATAAGAGGATTGGCGACATTTATATGACAATAACAATCATTCATACGATCCAATTAGAGTCAGATCCCAGGCCCACTAAATTGGTAAGCCCGTCTATAGCATCGTCTGATCTAAATGAAGGACCACTAAACTCTGGTCCATTTTCTAATAAACTCCACATTCTTCAAAATCACGATATATTTTATAATAAATAGTGTTTTACTTTAATCGAAATGTTTCACAATTACATAAGACACATTGTTATATCATGAAAATTCTTTTAAAAACCATTTTAATATTGATAAAGAAATAGAAATAATATTTTTATACTTATTCTATGATGATGAATGAAATGATAACAAAAATAAATTAATTGTAATGATATAGTCAATGTAATACTGTTTACAGTGATTATCAATTACATTTAACTAACGATAGTATTATTAAAGGCTAATACATTTAAAACTTCAATTGATAAATAACATTTCATTCGTATAGACTCAAATGAAATTTAACAGGAACAGACTGTTTGTTTTAAACATTTATTTCCATAACTAAATAAAGAGTGACCTCATAAGATTTCTCTTAAATTATTAAACAATCTACTTAGTAACCGAACCATTTTGTAATATGCTTATCCAGAGGAAATGACTTAAGGTTTTATTCTCTTTATATAAAATGCATACAACCATTTTTGTTTATTCTTCAGAGGAGTACTGTTTTTGCTAAACTTGTACAACTATTCACATGGTGTTGTTTTACTTGTATCGTTCCGTTGTTATCTAAGTAGATGAAGGCGTTTGAAGTGAACGCTACGGGGTTCAAGTCCAGGATTGAACACCAACTTCGGGATCCAGGTATATCCAGCCGACAGGTCCTAAATAGGATGAAACACGCTTCCTAGATTCCACTGCTAGTCACTATCCATCATGTTTCTATCTTCCCTTTATATCAAAATATTGATTGCATATTTTTTTCAAAGTTAAACTTAATGAAGTTTATACAAATGCTTCATCCTACTTCTTTTTCTGATTTAATTATAAATCTTTGGATAATTTCATTTTCAAACTGTAAAATCAAAATGTATTTGATTTTTCTTTCAGATGCAAGATTGTTCTGATTTGTTTTTTCGACTAGTAGTCTGATGTATTTCTTGAGTTAAGTTAAATAAATGTCTGACAAAAGAAAAACTTGGCTACTTTTGTTTGATTGTCAGGTTTGTTTATCTTTATGATTGAAAAAAAACCCAGTAGGAAAACAATCAGATGAATTTAATTCATTAGCACTACAAAAAAAAAATTACTGTACAACTTAATATTCCTTTCAGTTATGTACTTTTATTAGGCGTTTTAATGTATTATAGATAGGCTTTAATTTGAAGAATACATTTTATATGAAGAACATTATGAATTAGGTAAGTGCAAGAAGAGGTTGTTTAAATTCATTTTTGAAATCTAGGTAACTTATTTTTAAACGCATTCAAATGATATAAAAAAAATAGATTGGTAATTACCATGAACAAAGTTAAATCAATAAAACATGCCATACAAGTTCAAGAAATGATTTATTTTTTTTAACTTTATTTCATTTTGCTTAGTTACAATGTTTATTGTCTATTATAGTGTAACATGCTGTTTCACAAATTTGTTTTCTTTTCCTTTTTGAAAAACAGATTGGAATGTAAAGTTGTTGTTATCTAAGATACATTTTCACTACATTTTTTAATAAAAAAGGATTTTATATGAAATCATAGCTTTCCATTATCAAGCACATGAGTACATAATAAGATTTCAAATGAAGATTCAAAATTATAACAAATTAACAAACTTTATTGTCAACCCTTAATTTTATAAATAAAGTCATGATATCGTGAAAACGTTAAATGAAAGATATAACTTTTTTTTCCTGAGAACACACAAGAGTTCACTTTTTCATTGTAATTAAAAGACTAAAGCATTAATAAAGAGGGTAATGTTTAGTTTAAGTTCAGGTGAAAAATCAAAATGCGTATTCTTGAAATCAACTGTTTATATGCAATTCTCATTCAATAAATATGAGCCATACTTTTTCATCTATCCTATGTCAGTAATTTGACTGAATAAAAAACTCTATTTTTTAGAAATACTAATTCTTCTAGACGAATAATACCGCTGTCAATAATTTCCCATCAGTTTATTATTATTATTAACGGCTTTATTGAATATTATATTTTTGGTACAATATAGAATTCTCACCACAGTGTATTTCAACAAGTTCCCGTTCCAAAATTCTTTGTTGATCTTAACAACAAACATTGAGGTTTCTCCAGTTATGTGTTAGTAGTAGTAGTAGTAGTTCAGAAATCGACATCTAATTAACAATGACCATGCTGTTCAATACCTACTGTCAACCATCACGATATCAATGACTATAGTTTATTGTAACTTGTACAGTTAAGGGGCGTAAACTTTTCACAAACTCACCTGAATATGTTATGCGATTATTAGACATAATTATTTGTTAAAATAAACAAAAGTAAAAAACATGTTAAAATATCTAAATGACAGAAACAGTTAGTCCATATATATTCAAACAGGCCGCCAAAAGATCCTCAGTTATCCATTCAAACTGGAGTAACAGATAGATAGCTGTTTTTAAGAGAAATGCAGCGTTTAAAAATTTCAGTTAGTGAATTGGTTGTTGTTAGTTGAATGAATTTAAGTTGGTTTTGGCTAGTAAGTAATCATAACTTGAATAATTTTATAAATAAAATAAAATTATAAGGATTGA